AGTAAGGGGTGGGAGGTAGGGCAGTAAAATTTCAAAGAGGGACATAAAATAAATTTTGCCAGACAGTTCAGGCATTAGATGACTCTGAAACAACCTATTCTTCATACACACTCCTGGAATTCACAACAAAGGAAATCTCCTTTCTGTAAAAATAAGATGTTGAAATGGAGATATTTAATTTTAAATTCTTAATATGTACCAATGGGTACTACTTAATGTAGTTGTACTTCGTTTACCCTATTTTCAGTGATTAGAAACCATAATAATTAAGAAAATAGAAAGCACCTCCTGGCCTTCTTAGAGTCACAGGTTCTACTGATAAATTCTGATAACAGCTAATTGGAATATATGTTCAGCTTCATATCTGAACAAACTGCCTTACCTCTGGAATCAAGGTTGTTAAGAGAATTCTAAAAGTAGTCACAAAAACAGGAAGAAAATAATTTTGCCCTCTGGATTAGAGAATCAAGAGTTTAGAACCACAAGACTTTCTTCACTATAATATCCATCAACTCAGCTCTTTTTTTTTTTTTGTATTTGATGCAAGCAAACAACTTTCCTAAAACATCAGAGCTCTGGAAACAGCACTGATCAGAAGCAACTTCAAACTTACCAGGTTTGGCAGCATCTCTATCTCAAAACTTGAAACAAATGTTTCAGTTCTGAACTCTGGATATGCAAATGCTCCAGGTACTTTGATAGCTACATCTGTCAAAACTGTTCTATTAGGGGAGATTATTTTGGGGGGAGGGGGGTGAACTGAAGCTCTTATTCCATCAAGACAATGCAGTGTGTACATCGACATGACATTAATAATCAAAATGAAAGGGTGAATTATAGCCAGAATCCTGAGGAAACTACAGCCCAACAATGAATTGTAATAGAAAAATTCTGAGTGCCAGAACAAGTGCTGTAGCATAGGAAATATTTCTGAGAAATAGGAAATATATTTCATAAGAAATGTTTCTTCTTGCACGTTAACATAAAATACAGAAACTAACTCCTCAAATGTGTGTATATATCCCTCTCCAACAAAATGCCTTAAGATTTTTCTAGGAAATGGCTCTAAAAATAGAACTTCAATGACAAATTAATAATCTACCCCAAATTTACACAGTATTTAGTGTATTTAGCTAGGAAAGAATACAACTCAATCAATTCAAACATTGGTTTTTTAAAAAGACCATTTCTACCTTGCCCATTTAAATATTAACAAGCTATTACTATTTCAACATTATTAACTTCACCTGTTTTGGAATCCAAAAATCTAAGTAGCCTATTTAAGAAATTTAATAAAGCTAAAATTAAATTTTCAGTTTAATTCATACTGCCAATGAAATATTTATCATTACCTATAAGAAGAATACTATCAAAGTGAGACACTTTTTTTTAATCATTTGTACTTGTGACACCTTGGTTAGATTCTAAATAAATACTGTGCTTAAGAGTACTAAAGGCTGAAGTAATAAGTTGATGCAAAAGATTAAGATATGAAACATTTTATATCATTACTCCAACTGAAGGCTATTGACCATAGCAAAGATAGTAGCAGATTATAACCAAAATATTTTAGATATGAATATTAATATCTTGAAAATAATTTTTTAATTACTATAAGTTACATAAAATAGTTGTAACATTACAACATGAAGTATGTACTGATGTTTCCAAGGAATTAAGTTAAGTTGGTGCTGTCAAAGACCATCCTGTCTGAATCGCTTACAGAAAGGTAACCTTCAGGGTGCAAAGCTCAAACAGAATGCACTGGCAACCTCTCTTCCCCACTCATTTTTGCCCTAACATGGTACAGCTATAATTGAAAGCAATATATTTTCTAGTTAATGTAGGTGTGACTCATTCAATGGTAGAAATTCACTGTCTGCTGCCAAACCAAGTTGGTTTTTATGTACAGCAGGCTAATATGAAGATGCCTAGAGACAAAGTCTGTTTTCAAAATGTGAGATTCAACTGAAATGCTGCTTACTTTATTAAAGCTAGGCTTAGCACTTAATTTTAAATACTTGTTTCTACTGGTTTCTACACATTGGTATGATCTGGACTGTAACAAAGCATGTCAGAAAAGATAAGAACCAAAGGATGGCATTTTTGAGGATCACTATCAATAAATGGAATGTTCTTCCAGTTTAGGCCTGAGGTTAAGAAGCTATAAATGTGCTCAAACATGTGTGTGAATGTGCATGTGTATGTATACATACATAAACAGTAATTTTTTAAGAGCTATTTTTTTTCAAATTAGAACATTTTCATCAGTATGACACAAACCAAACGTATTTTTCCACTTTTATCTCTCCTCCAAGATTGTTAACAACAAAGAAGGATTTAATCAATAGGATGGACTTTCCCAAAGCAACCACATTACTACACGGCAAAGTCAAATATGACAGCACAATCTTGGTTTCCAACATGTGAACTTAAGCCATCCATCCCCCACACCAGATTACACCCATCTTTAATGTCATCACGAATTTAAGGGTATATGATTCTGGAAAAATACGTGCTTGCTGTGTCATAATGCCAGTGCACTGACAGCTTTATTTTGACATACCAGTTTGTTTTATTTTGTTCTGTTCTGTTTTGAGGAACTGTTTTCAAGGCCCATTCTCAGACATAGGTTCTACTTTTAGCTTCACTCTTCTCAATACTGATATTGCCCTATTGGTTTCACAGGCTTATAAATGTTAAACATCAAAAATTAGTTTCACTTATTACAGTTGGAAAAGGCTTTAAGAACTCTGAGATCTGTGCCTTTGAGCAAAGGCTTTATCAGCACATCCCACTCACTGCTTCTTGAAAAAAGAAAACGGTACTGATTAAAAACCTGTATACCTGACTTTCAAAAGGACACCTATCATGCATGTATACCTTTAATTCATAAAGGGTTTCTGCTCCAAATTCACGATTACTTACTTCTCAAAATCTCATCTTTCATATCCAGTGATTGGCACCAAGGAGATAAATTTGAAAAACTTAAACCTCAAACTAAACTATTTATTCAAGAATTCCATCTTGATTACTTTAGTTATTCTTCCACGGGTGTTTAATTAACATGGCATCAGTATCTCTCCAGTGGCTGTGTCTAGCCAGTAAACACTTTCCAGATGTCTTTCTACTTATACAAGGAAAAGAGGAGGGCACAAATTACTCTTTTTCCTTTTAACCAGAAGTCTTTAACCCCACACTAGATAAATTTTCTTTCATTAGAACAAAACGTTATGCTGGTATGAAAGTAAAAAGAACTCTTGAGAAAATGCTTACTATCCTTACAAGTGCTATAAATGGTGTATATTTCTAAAGCAATCTCATTTGTCATAAAGCGTGACAGGAAATAATAACCTAAATGGTTATTGCTTATTTATATAAATATTATTGTTATTATTATATTATGTACTATTATTATTTATTATTATTAAAATGGAAAATACCTAGTCAGTAGTACACAATTCCCATTTCAAAAATAGCAGTATGACAAAGCAAAACAGAAACAGAAACTCAACACCCTCAAAGGAAACACACAGGTCTGAGGCCTCAGAGGCTCTACTCCTGCTCACTCTGACACGCTGCCTCCTGCTCACAGGTGACCACTGATGAGACAGACAACCAGGGACTGAACATGCAACCCTGGTGGACACCAGCCCCACGACCCCAACCCTCCCAGCACATCACTTAGGGAAAATATAACATACATACATAAGAGATTCTAGAATCCAGTATCTCACTGAAGGCAAATTTTAGATCTGATTTGCCAGGTAAAGATGAAAACTACACTCAAATAATGTTTTCAAGATCTTAATTTTAATAGTAATTGTCTCAAGCTGGAAAACAATCAGCAATGACAGCTAAAATTAGTAGGTAAAGAATAGTGAGAGAAAGAATATCCACAGTCTCAAATCATCTCTCACCTCTCTGTGAGATACTTATTAATTTACACAGGGAAAAATAATGTTAGAATAAATCTGGAGACACCACCTTAAGCAAATAATCAAAGGAACATCGTCAGTAAAATAGACAAATAGATGCCACATGCATTCTGATATCCTACACTGAGGACACTTCTGTGATTTTCCCACCAATACATGCATAACATGAATCTAATCATAAGGAAGCACCAGACAAAGCAAACTTGACAGACATCCTACAAAATCATCAGCTACTCTTCAAAATTACTAAGGTCCTGAGAAACACAGACTGAGGAAACATTCCAGACTAAAGAAGACTAAAAAGACACAACAACAAAACTCAGCATCTGAGACCAGAAAAAAGAAAATTTTCAAGGCAATCACTGACATAGTTGGCAAATCTAAATAAGGTACATAAATCAGAGAAGAATGATCAAGCAAACGTTAACTGTTAACATTTCAGGTATCTGAGTGAAGGGCAAACAGAAATTGTTTTACAAATTTTGCAACTTTCTCCCAGAAGGTGCAAGTGAGAATCTTCTGGATGCCTTGGTACTTGGGAAAAGAATATTCAATATACCTATTAGCTTTATACTATAGACTTTTAGGTTAAAAAAAGGCTGAGAGTTCTTTAGGGCTGAGGGAACTATTTAGAATATGCAGTAAGAAAGCATTCTGGGGAGAAAGGGTTAGGAACACGCTGAGAGATGTGACCCCAGAACTCACGGCTGCCCTCAGGGAGAGTTAAACTGAGCTAAAGACGAAAATGGAAAAAGAAAGCTAGCCTTTTCAGCACAAATGGCAGAAAGAGCTCTGAACTAGATGAAATCTAGAGGCTGAAGATCAACCATGGATTATTTCCAGCATTAAGATTTAGATCAGAATAATTTATTAACATTAAAGACAAAAATAAAACCCAGTATTTCAAAATAAATGGGAGATTAAGAGGGAAGAAAATGGACAGGAAGGAAAATCTTAGATCAAATATTTGAACACTGCACTTACTCGTGATCATGCAAAGAACATACACTCATTTCAGAAGATTTGAAAGCACAGCAGGGCGTCATGGTGGGGCTGACTCACCTCTCGAGTAGCTAGCTGGTTGCTGAGTTCCTCGGCCTTCTCAATGTTCCACTCTTCCACAGCTTGGTCTATCCTCTTCTCAAGTCCCGACTAGAAAGAAAAGAAATCTCAAACTTAGAGGCAGGAAAGAAAGGCAAACCCTTGCTAGTAAAGACCATGTCACGGGACCACACCACACACATTATGTACTTAGACTACTTCATTCCTACAGTGACTGCAGTGGGAGTTGCTACCACTCCCCATTTACTGACAAGAGAGTGAATCAGCAATGTTAACTGACTTATCCAGGGTCAGACTAATTGAATTAAGAAGGAAATGCAAATCCACATTTCTGTGATCCTAAGGACTAAACTTTCCCTTGATAACAATATGTTAATAATAATAAGCTTGAAATTATGGCATGCTTATTATATAGCACACCCTTTCTCACTATAAGAAAGCTCATTTAATCCATATAACAATTGGATGAAATAAAACTGTTATCCTGTTTTGAACACAAGGAAACAGAAGCTTGGACTCATCAATTTGTCCAAGTCACAGAGTCTGTTAAGTGTTAAGCCATCACATGAATCTATTAATAGATTTGCCCAGAGCCCATATTCTAAACCACCCTTTTCCTCTGCCTCTTTCTCTACTGCCCATACTTGCATTCACCAGCCCCTCCTAGTCTCTGACTATGGGTATTAAGTTGGATATTAAAACACAGGAGGAAAGTTATATTTTACTTTCCTATGGAAATGCTATTTACTAGCTGAAGATACTTCATGAAGTCATAATTAAAATTTTCATGGGATTACCAAACAGACTCGGTAGGATATATCATACCCTATGAAAAGATACTTGTTAGATTTAAATAACTGAGTTTTGGTTTGTAGAAATAGTTACCAAAGAAAATACAAATTTTTTAAAGAGCTAGTCTAATACATGTTTCTTAGAAGAAAAGTTTTTCCCAATGGCTTATCTCATTTTTGGTTAATAGACTTCTCCCTACTTAACCTAATAAAAGAAGTCCAAGCAATGTCTCTTCCATCAGAGTACTGCTTGATTACAAGAGAAACTTCACTCCCATGGAGCCTTGTTGACACAAGACTCTAAAAACGCCCACGCCTAAAAAGACCAAGGAGGCTGCTGAGGACACCTACATTAAGCGAAGACTGTCCCTCTCACAACCCGTCACCCCACCCAGGCCTGGAGGACGGTGCGGTTCTCCCTCGCTCTGGACCGGAGCTTCAGAGCGCCACTCGGGAGCCTCTCGGAGCCTCTGAGCCCAGGCCACGCTGCTCTACTGTCCTTTCTCCATCCCGGTCTTGTGGTCATCCACCAGTCTCCAGAAATGCCTCTTTTTTTGTATTGCTGCAGATTTCTTCTCCTGATGACCGAAACAACATCCTGGACTCACTCTTCCAACATCCTTCATCTTCTGGGGCCACTAAATAATAGCCCCCCCCCCCCCCAACCCTACACTCGCGGTCAGGGACTCTACAAGTGTGGTCTATGTTCCAGTTCAAGTCTGCAAATGAGGACAGTCTGTGAACTGAGCTTGTGCCAGAATGCAAATCAACTACATGACTATGCATAGGTTTGCCTAGTTGATTTTTTATTAGAAGAGAGAGGATGGGTAACGGATGATGAGGACAATCAGACTTCTTCAAAGAAAGAAGGCGTATACTGGGTTACACTCAGGCACAAGTTCTTTATCTCCTGGAACCTTTGAATACACTTGCTCTAGGTCACATAAGAGCTTTACAATCTAGAATTCTCTACAAACACAAGATTCTGTCCTTCCACTTACCTCGAGTCCTCAGAGAAAGTGAACCTATCGGGGCTTCATTTGGACCCCATACTCTAGCACCATCATATTTATTCTCACAGCCCTTCAGCCCCATCCTGAGTCTCCTCTCCTCCCTTCAGGCCTGCAACTCATGAATTACCTTTTCAAACTAGACTCTAAGCCTTAAGTTATCAAAGTTCAAGTCTGAACCAGCAGCATCAGCACTACTTGAGAACTTGTTAAAAATGCAAATTTGAATCAGAAAACTCTGGGGGTGAGGCCTAGAAATCCATCAACTTAACTCCCTTTGGTTACCATGGAGACACAGATTACAGTGAAAGTCCCCAAAACAGAAAACAAGAACACTCCCTTTTTCTGGAAACTTATATGAACTGCTGAGCTGATCGGTATAATTTTCACTGAAAAATAAATGAGCTAAAATTACAAATCTCTCTACTATCAATGACCTCCCATTCCCCGAGCCATTCCAACCAGCCTCTAATATAGCAGAAAGAGCACTGGGCCAGAAGTCAGAGAAAGGTGATGACAGCACTAGGAGGTACTTAACTCACAAGCTTCAGTTTCCTTAGAGAAAATCAGAAAATCACATGGACGACCAAAATTCTCCCCTAGAAATAAAATTCTAGAACTCCCCTTACACGTTCAACTTGGTTTTTAGCTCTTTTATAAGTTTTTTTTATATCAATAAAGTTTCACTAGATATGACTTTGCTGTTTTCCTCCCCCTTTTCTCTTCTCTTTTCTTTTTCTTTTTAAGCAATTTATTTAAGTAAAATATAACAGCTCCTTTTGGCGCTGAAAATTTTATGCTTCCGTATGCACACCCACACTCTTTGCTTCTATAAGAAGATAGTAACATTCCAAATATTTTCAAAATGCTTAAATAATAATAAAAACCCCGAGGTCAAACATTTCTATCACCTTAAGACCAAAAGCTAACAACAGTTTACAAAGAACATAGTTGCTGAGGTTAAACCTGGATTCAAATTCCAGCTCCTCTACCTACTGGCCAAGAAACCCTGAGTTTTGTTCCTAAACTACAGGCTGCAGTTCTCTCACCTGTAAGATGAGAATATCACCACATACTTTGCAGAGTTACAGTAAAGGCAAAAAATAGGATACCTAGCAAAGTTTTTAGAACAGTAGTCACTCAATAAATAAGGTATTCACATTATACCTATCAGGATACCATTAAAACAAAGAGAAGGTTCACCTCTATGTAACTACAGACCTCATTACAGTTACAAGGGCTCAGACACAAGTGTAAGACCCAAGATTTCAACTTTGAGTCAGTCAGTCATCTCATGAACTAAGATTTGAGTAGTAAGGCTTTGTACAAGTCATAAGCTGGACCCCCGAGTAACCTTTACCAGAAACATCTTTCACACCACAGGAGTAGCAGGACGCACAGAAGCACTGCTGATCCTCTGCAGGGCCTCAGTCCGTCCATCGGTCAGCTCAGTTGCTCAGTCGTGTCCAACTCTTTGCGACCCCATGGACTGCAGCACGCCAGGCCTCCCTGTCCATCACCACCTCCCGGAGTTTACTCAAACTTATGTCCACTGAGTCAGTGATGCCATCCAACCATCTCATCCTCTGTCGTCCCCTCCTCCTCCCGCCTTCAATCTTTCCCAGCATCAAAGTCTTCTCAAATGAGTCAGCTCTTCGCATTAGGTGGCCAAAGTATTGGAATTTCAACTTCAACATCAGTTCCTCCAATGAATATTCAGGACTGATGGGGACAGGATTGATGATAAGGCCTCAGTGTGCTCCTAAGATGCCTCTGGCAGGACCCAGAATTTAGCTTAAGATATATCTCAGTACAGACAAACTTAGGGATGGTAATTTGGTCACAGGTGGAAAATCTCCTAAGGCCAGTATCTGACAGGTTCCCATAAGGCAATAAGTGACCGCTAACAGTTTTATTGCAGATGTCAAGGCAGTATTACTCTAAGAATCTAAGAAATTTATTGGTACTAGGCTTAACATTAAGGATTAACCATCCATATGTGTGTAGTAAAATCTCTTTTAATATACCGATTAAAACTGTTTAGGTCAAACTGTAACATAATGCATTTCTACAGATATTTTGCTACTGAATATTCAATCAGATAATACATTCAACTTTTAAACCTTAATACAAACAAACTGTCCACTCAAGTTTGCTGCTCTATGATCAGATCTAAATATCTAGGGAAAAAATTAGGTAACTCTCTCCATAAAGGAGGAAGAAAAAAAAGAATTAAGTGTTGTTACTTTTACATATAAATCACACCCACTTGAACTATTTGAATCAAGTCAGAAAAGATCCCCTGGAGAAGGAAATGACAACCCACTCCAGTATTCTTGCCTGGAATATCCCATGGACAGAGAAGCCTGGCAGGTTACAGTCCATGGGATCGCAAAAAAGATAGACACACTCAGCAAATAAAAAACAAAGTAAAACTAAGTTGGACTATTACTTCAAAAGAATCTATATTTGGGACCATTTTCCTTTTCAACCTGCTCTGTTTTCTTAGACAAATCATGCTGGGTTTCAGTTGCTTCATCTGTATTATGAGAATAATAGCTGGTGGGTATTAACCCACCCAACAGGGATCACATAAAGATCGAGAAAGAAAACTCTATACCTGATACCAGAGGAATATCGGGTACTTCTACATTCCCACCACCAGCCACCCGACTCCCTACCACTCCAGGCAGCCAGCCTATGATCTGTGTACCGGATCTCCATGTGAGAGCCTAGTAAGAAAAAGTATTCTTCTAAAAAAACAAGTTTGAAAATAGGCACAGAGTACAACAGCAGCTTCCTCTCATAAACAAAAGTTACCAAAGACCTCGTGCAGTTACTCTACAAATTATTAAATGTACCTTTGGTTTTTCCTGCCAAAAAGTACCCATTAAGTAGACATAAAACTACTCCCAAAGATGACTGCTGACTAATCAAATTGATGCCACTAAAGAATACTTGAGGCATTTATAATGAAATTAATGAGTAAAATTTATTCTAAAGAAATTCCCACATAGATTCAACATTAATTATGCTACGATTATAGAAGTTTTGTAAGACCAGAACTGCTGCCAGAAACACAATTATAGCTTTATTTAATATAAGAACACTTTCACAACAGCTCTATATATTAGGAAGATTATATTTTAAAATATAAGCCTCTGTGCATTGTCAGGGAAGCAGGTAACAGCAGTGTTAAAAATACACATCCTTGGTTGAGCAACAGTTTCAATAGTCTGGCAGTGTTCCAAAAAAGGGGGGTTGGGTAGAAAAGAATAAAAAAGATGGA